ATCCGGCCCATGGGGGGCTGGGGGCGCAGGGAGCCCGAGGCTGGGAGGGGGGAGGGGGAGGATCCGGCCCATGGGGGGCTGGGGGCGCAGGGAGCCCGAGGCTGGGAGGGGGAAAGGGGAGGATCCGGCCCATGGGGGGCTAGGGGGGCAGGGAGCCCGAGGTTGGAAGGGGGAGGGGGAGGCTCGGGCCCATGGGGGATTGTGGGGGATGGGAGATTGAGGCGGTGAGGAGGAGGGGGAGGATCCGGCCCATGAGGGTTGGGGCCCCGTGGAGGGGGCTACGGGGCAGGATCGGGCCCCGCTGGTAGGAGGGGATCGGGCCCCCGCTAACACCCTCCCCCCCGTCTGCCCCCCAGAACAACCGGGGGCTGCAGGTGCGGAAGGTGGAACGGTTCCCGCAGAACTGGGTCATCACGGACCAGCTCTCCATCCCCGACATCTCCGAGTGAGTGGGGGGGCCGGGACTGGGGGTGACACTGACACCCCATTGCCCTGGGAGGGCACCAGGGGTGGAGGGGGCAGAGAAGCCCCCAGAGCTGGCTTGTGCCTGGTCCAGACTGGGGGAGCCCCTGCTGGGGGGAGTGCCCCCCAGGAGTGGGGATGGGGTGTCGGGGGGACTCCCTGGGGGCGGGACCCCTACATCCTTGTCCGGGGGGTCTGGGGGGCATTGGGGGGCTGCCCCCCTGAAGCTCACAATAGGGACCCTTGGAATGATCGGGGGCTGGGAGCAGGGTCCCCTAGGAAGAGGGGCTGTGGGAGCTCGGGGGCCCCCGATCCCCTCTCACCCCCTCGCCCCTCCCAGGCCCGGGACCTGGCGCATCACGGCGCGATTCTCCAACGCTCTCGAGTCCAACACCAGCACCGAGTTCGAGGTGAAGAAATACGGTGAGTCCCGGACGCCTGGGTTCTCACTCGGGGAGGGGGGAGGGCGGTCTGGGAGCCAGGACTCCTGGGTTCTCTCCTGGCTCCGGGGGCAGAGGGGGGGCTGGGAGCCAGGACTCCTGGGTCCCATGTGTGTTTTCTCTCCCCAGTGCTCCCCAATTTCGAGGTGAAGATCATCCCCGAACGGACCCACATGCTGGTGACGGGAGAGGGGGGCCCCGATTTGCGCATTGACCTGCAGGTCAGGTAGGGGCAGCTCCCCCGACCCCCTCCCCTCTGGCCGGGCTCAGACAGCCGGGGGGGGGTGTTATGGGGTGCTCTGGCTCTCAGCTTTCCCCAGGCTCCCCGGGATCCGGGCTCTGTTGTACTTAAAGTCCTGCACAGGATCTTTTCAGGGGGAATAAGGCAAAACGCCACATTTATTAGC